GTTCCCTCAAGTTTCCAGTCTCACTCTGGTTCTTCCAGGAGCAAATTATAGTAGACCGGAATTGCCATCAAGGAATGGGATTGAGGGTTCCCTATCTCTATGTAACACAGTAGAATGCTCTTCCCTGCAGCCCATGGGACTTTCTCCAAAAGAGACCACCTGGTAGTATAGAAGTTTAAATCACATGTTGTTTACAGGCATGGGTAAAACAGAATATCAAAACAAAGCAAGTGACAGTGACTACTCAAAGCCATGGGTGCTAGACAGAATGCTACTCTGTCAACTTTGATTAAAAGAAGAAATGTAGAAGAAAATGTAAAAAGTCCCAAATTAAACTAAAATGAATATAAATTATACCCAAATCATTGGAGCACATCAATGGATACAATTTACCAATAAAAAGGCACACACTAATGGAATGAATGTGTAAACAGAGTCTATCATTCTGCTGTATACAAGAAATCCATCTCAGCAACAAAGATAGACATTACCTCACAGTAAAAGCCTGGAAGTAAGTTTTCCAAGCAATGAACCCAAGAAACAAGCTGGAGTAGCCATTCTAACATCTACTGAAATAGACTTTGAAGCAAAGTTAATCAAATGAGACGAGGAAGGACATTGTATACTTATCAAAGGAAAAATTGAACAAGTGGACACCTCAATTCTGAATATCTATGTCCCAAGTAGAGGACACTCACATTTTTAAAAGAAATACTACTAAAGATTAAATTAACTGAAACTCTCAATTTAATAGTCAGAAACTTCAGCACTCTACTTTTACTAAAGTACAGCATATTGAGAAAGAAACTGAACAGAGGAGTAATGAATCTAAGAAAGGTTATGATTCCAGTGAACCTAACAGATATCAATAGAACACTTCACTCAGTTCTTGGTTGAGGAACCAGCAATAAAATAGATCAAATAGTCAAGGAACAAGCAAGACAATAAACAAAAAGAGTCAAAGAACAAGCAAGGCAATAAACAAAATTCTGTGAACACTCCCAAGATCACTGTTTCTAAGAGATATCAGGATGGCCAAAATATCTGAGCCAATTTCCCTGTCCTAGTCCAAATTCATTTTCATGTCTGAAGCCTACTTCCTTGTTCTACCCTAAAATTCAGATTTCTTCCTGAAATTACTTCTTTGTTCTAGCCTGAGATTTAGATTCCTGCCTGAAATTACTTCCTTGTTCTATCCTAATGTCAGCTTCCTGCCTGAATCCCACTTCCTTCTCCTTGGCCAATTTCATATTCCTGCCAAGCAGCCCATTTCCTTGTCCTTGGCCCATGTCAGATTCTTGCAAAGCAGCCCCAAAAGCTAGAACGGACCTTAATACTTGGATGTAATAAAAATGGTATAAAAGTAGAAAGGGGCAGGGAGTATGGGATAGGGAATTTCTAGTGAGGGGAAATGGGAAAAGGAGGTGGCATCTGATTTGTAAATACATAAAATATCCAATAAAAAAGAAAGAAAAAAGAAAGAACACTTCATACAAGAGAATATACCTTATCCTTAGCACCCCATGAAATCTTTTCCGTAATTGACCTATAGTCAGTCATAAAGCAAGTTTCAACAGATAGCAGAAAATTTAAATAACTCTTTGCATCCTATCAGATTAGTATGGATTAAAGCTGGACTTCAACAACAAGAGAAACAGTAGAAAGCTCACATATTCACGGAAACTGAACAACTCTCTACTTAACAATCACTGGGGCAGGGAAGAAATAAAGAAATGATGAGAGCACAATATAGTCAAACATATGGGACACAATGAAAGCGGTGCTAAAAGGAAAAATTATAGCACTAAGTACATTCATACTAATGAATCAAAAAGTATACCTGAAAGCTCTAGAAAGAAAAAAAGCAAGGATAACAATAGGACAGTAGATATAGTAAAACTCAGGGCTGAAATCTAACAATCAGAAACAAAGAGAACATTACAAAAAAATTAACAAAACAAAGAGCTGTTTCTTAGAGAAAATCAAAAAGACAAAGCTTTAGTGAAACTAACTGAAAGGCAGAAAGATCATACCCAAATTAACAAAATCAGAAATTAATAAGCAGAGAAAACAAAGTATACAGAAGAAGTTCAAGAATTATTAGGTCTTATTTCAAAAGCCTGTATTTCACAAAATTCGAAAATCTAAATGAAATTTACAATCTTCTAGATAGATACCAATTACCAAAGTTAAATCAAGATCGGGACTATCTAAATAGTCCTACAACCCCTAAAGAAATAGAAGTAGTCACTAAAAGTCTCACAAAAAATAAAGCCCAGGGCAAGATGGTTTTAGTGCCAAATTCTATCAGACATTTATAAGAAGAGCTAATACCAATACTCCTCAAACTATTCCACAAAATAGAAATGGAAGGAACCTTGTCATACACATTTTATGAGGCCACAGTCATCCTGATACCTAAATCACACAAATACTCAAAAAAAAAGAGTACTTCAGACCAATTTCTCTTATGAACATTGATTGAAAATACTCAATAAAATACTTTACCCTAATCTAATAACACATCAAAGACAGCATCCACCATGATGAAGTAGGCTTCATTCTAGGGATGTAGGGGTAGTTCAATATATGTAAATGTACCAATGTAGTCCACTATGTAAACAAATAAAATTTAAAAATCCACATGATCATGTTTTTAGAAGCTGAAAAGGCCTTTGGTAAAATCTAACACAATTTAATGCTTAAAGTCTTAGAGAGATTAGAGATACAAGGCACCTACCAAATCACAATAAAGGCAATATACAGCAATCCAGTAGATAACTTGAAATTAAATGAAGAGAAAATTAAAGCAATTCCATGGAAAACAGGTAGATGACAAGGTTGTCACTCTCTCCCTGTCCAATATAGTACTTGAAGCTCTAGCAAGAACAATACAACATAAGGTGACGAAGGGGATACAAATTGGATATGAAGAAGTCAAAGTATCGCAATTTGCAGATGATATGATATGAGAGTATATATAAATGATCCCTAAAATTCTACTAGAGACATTTAACAGGTGATAAACCACATCAGCAAAGTGGCTGGATACAAAATTCAGGCAACACAATCAGTAGCCTTCTTTTTACAAATGACAAACAACCTAAAAGATTAGGGAGAAAATACTTGCAAAAGAGCTGCCAATAATATAAAATATTTAGAAGTAAGTCTAACTAAGCAATGGAAAGACTTGTATGGCAAGAACTTCAAGTCTCTGTAGAAAGAAATTGAAGAAGATGTGAGAAGATGCAAAGGCCTCCCATGCGCATGGATCAGTTTCACAAATAGTGTGAAAATAGCTGTCTTACCAAAACGATCTACAGATTTAATGCAACTCTCACTGAAATTCCAATACAATAATTTACAGATCCTGAAAAATCAATTTGCATCTTTATACACAACCAACCAACCAACCAACCAACCCAGGATGACTAAAACAATACTGAACAATGAAAGAACTTGTGCAGGTATCACTATCACTGATTTCAACCTTTACTGTAGATAAGTAGTAATAAAAACTGCATGATTTTGCTACAGAAACAGATACATTGATCAACAGAATCTAATTAAGGACACTGAAGTCAACCCACTCACCTATTGACACTTGAGTTTTGACAAGGAATCTATTATCACCCACTGGAAAAGGGAGAGCATCTTCAACAAATGCTGCTGGTCTATTTGGCTATCTGTGTAGAAGAATGCAAATAGATCCATATCTATCATACAGGACAAAAGTAAAATCCAAGTGGATCAAAGACCTCAACATAAAACTGGATACACTAAATTTAATAGAACAGTTAATGGAGAATAGCCTTGAATTCATCAGTACAGGAGACAATGTCCTAAACAAAACACTCAGGCATTACAGGTCCCCCAAAACAACCAGAGCAAGTGCTGTACCTGAAGTTGCTGAGGGAACTCTCTGCCTGTGCACCCTATACCAGTAAATGGACATCTGTTTCTGGCCTCGGTGGGAATGGCTGTGGGTAGTACCACAGTGACTTGATGTGTGTGGGTGCTTGACACTCAGAGCAAGGTTTCCTCTTCTCAAAACAGAAGGGAAAGGGGTATTTGGAGGATTATTTGCATGAGGGGGCAATGACAGATGAGCAGGGCTGATAGTCGGTTGTAAAGGGAATAAGTAAATAAATGTAACTAAAAAAAGATCAAACAATAAATAAATGGGACTTTATGAAACTGAAAAGCTTCTGTAAGTCAAAGGACACTATCAATATGACCAAATGAGCGTCTACAGATTTGGATCAGATCTTCATTCAACCTTCTGGCAACAGAGGGTTAAACTCCAAAATATAGGAAGAACTGAAGAAGTTAAGACACAAGCAATCCAAATAAACCAATTAAAAAATGGATTACAGACCTAAACAGAAAACTCTCCTCAGAGGAATCTTGAATGGCTGAGAAGCATTTAAAGAGCTAAGACTACAGCAATCAAATAGAAACCTCATACTGTTCTCTCAGGTTTCCAAACTCACTCTGGTTCTTCTAGAACCAAATTTTAGTAGACAGGAATTGCCATGAGGAAATGGAATTGGAGGCTCTCTCTCTTTTCAGGACAAAGCAGAGTGAAAAGAGGAAGGGCTTTCAAATTCAGAGACATCAAATACAAAGAAACACATACAGAGGTCCATAGGGTAGATACAGGTTTAAGGAAGATAGACACCATTTCTATTATCAACGTGTAAAAAACTGAATAAAGGAAATTACGAATATGTAGGACTTCCTTTTATTTGTTAGTGAATGCTTTTGATACTGAGACAAGGTAGAGGATCCATAACTTCTGCCCTGGGATTTCACACACATACACACACACACACACACACACACACACACACACAAACACACACAAACACTCAAAGAAACAGAGAGGAGAGAGAGAGAAGAGAGAGAGAGAGAGAGAGAGAGAGAGAGAGAGAGAGAGAAGTGGAAGGTGACATGTGACATATGTTAACCTGTCTACACATTAATACCAGAAGGAAGTTTTATAGGATATTATTATTCTTTGTAGTTTTTTGTTTGATTGTTTAACATGTGAAATCTTTTTCAGATTTTGCAAGTTTAAAGACCAGAGATTCTGTTTTTTCTGATTAGATTTTATCTTCAGATTCTGAGTTAGGCACAGCCTATCTTGCGGATCGTTTCTTTAACTTACGAAGGCCATACAAAGCAATTAAGCCAAGCATATACATAATTATAAAAGCTACGAAGTACATACTCCAATTGGAAGGAGGAGGTAAAGGCACAGGAGGTGGTCCACTGTCTATACTCCCTCCATGGCCACGTAGTCGACAGTCTGGGGGTTCCCATGTGACGTCACAATGACAGTGCTGTTTATTGTTGCAGACTCCTTGCATATGACATAAGCCTGGTGAACAATTACTTAGCAGAATAGATTTGCTGACACACTTTCTGTCAATACATAAATAGTCTGGAGCACAAGCTGTGCCATCGTTCACTGCTCCAATGTCATCTATGGCTATCCCAAAATGATAGTCCATAGTCCAGCAGATGACATTATTGAAGTGAGTGTAATGCACTGTTTCATGGCTTCTCCTTTGGGGAAGTTCAGTTACATTTTCACACTGAATTCGTCCACAGAGTATATCAGCGAGTTTGCACCTTCTGTATTTAGTGCTATCATTACCACAGTTACCAAAACGGTCACCCCTTTTGTTCATTTCATAGTAGCAAATTTCATTTGCACTTCTACTTCCGTTGCCAAAAATCTTCCGACACTGTTCATCATGTTGATGACACTCCATCTTATAGCAATAGCCTTCATCACTGCAAGGGCTTCCGTCTTCTTTATACACATCTCCTGGACACTCAGCTGAAGTTCCATTGCACCACTCTGGAAGATCACACTCATTTTTTGCTTTTCTACATATGGTACCTGTTTGAAGGAACTGGCAATCTTGGCAACAAAGCCCAGAAGCACAGTGAGCACCAGGTTTGAGAACACAGTCCTCACTACAGCATGGATCTTTTGAACAGGATTCAGAGCTCCCACAATCACACTGCTCTCCTTCCTCAACCAAGTTATTCCCACACTCGGTCAGCGTAATGTTTGATGTTCTTAGTGCTTCTGGAATATCGTATAAACAACTTCTTTGGTTAACAACTGAATACATTTCTTCATAACTACAGTTGCTGAATTTGGGGGAATTTGATTTATAGGGGGCCATTATGCAGCTTTGTCTTCCACAAGTACATCCACTTACATCATGCATCATACCCAAGTTATGACCCATCTCATGTGCTATAATAAATGCCATGTCTGATATTGAATCAGACATGAAACTGTTAACTGCACAATTAACAGTCATACAAACTGCAGCTACATTAGCTAACCCTAAGTATATACCATAATTACGTCTGACAAAAAGGTGTATGATATCATGTCTAACACGATTACCAATCGCGTTTATCTTCCAATTGCAGAATGCATTTAGGACCGCTGTCATATCCTGTTCTACATTGATAAGATTTCTTTGGCTCCACACTTCAAGTTTGGTTAAAACCACATCAGTCTCTATTTGCAGATAATAAGCATTTATTCCATTGACTATTTCCAACATATCTTGAATACAGGCTGTGGTATTGTTATTTCTATGAACATATCGTTTATGGTCTATTACTACAAAATAGTCAATAAACCTGTGGTGGGTCCACCAATTCTCATATGGGAGTTGCAAAAGTGTGGAATCATTGCTTTCTTGAAGCTTTATTTGTTGTGCTATTTCCTCTTCAGTTAAGCCACATCTCATGGGAATTGATTCTGACTCCTCACTGTCCATTTTGAAAGCCAGATGTTCAAATGTTGAAGTTGAGCTCTTGGGCATGATTTCATAAATTGTGCCATTTATGTCTAGTATGCCTTGCAAACTCCCAAAACAGGTGTGAACAATGACCAAGGATTCTGGGTCTTCATCCACATAGCCATGGTAGTAGCAGTCATTCTGCACAAAAGGCTGTTCTTCAAGTGGATCACCTTGGTCACTATAAGTGAGTAATACGAAGTTTCTGGATATCAAGTTTTTCTTGGGTTTCATAGTGATTATGTGTCTCTGTCCCCCAATGTTCAGGCTATAGGACAGCCAACCTGGGGAAATATTATTTCTGCCAGCTACAGTGACCCTCAAGGGTATCACTACTTCTGGAAGGCTACTGTACTTAGCATGTCCAGTTGACGACCATGCAGAGAGGAAGAACATCTTCCACAGGCAGAATATAAGGTACATGTTCCTTTCATGGACCAGGGCCTTATCCACAGTCACTATATCCTAATAGAGACAAAGGAAGAGCTTGACAAATCCTTGCTCTCCCAGTCCTCACTTTGTCTGGTTGCCAGCAGCACTGACCTACAATTGTGTGTCTTCTGACAGAGTTGAGTCATAAGAGCAGCAGGACTACAAGAAACAGGTAAATAAGGGCAAACATAGCTATTGTTAAATCATGGTCAATTAAGTTATATGACATAACTGTACAGAATGGGTTAAAATCAATTAGTCTTTGTTCCAAGATGTTTCAACAATGTGTTTCTGTTCCTTAAATGTGATAGTATGCCCTTTGTCCTTCTGTAAATATATTTGTAAAGCACTCCTAGTTAATAAAACAACAAAAATTTAACAAACTGCCCTTATTTTCACAATGTTTCTGAAGGTTCCAATTTTCCATCTTTTCTTAACAGCAACTGTAGATTTCCTTAGCTACACATCAAGGTTGTCATTGCTTTCATATACCTAGTTGTAACCCTCCTCCACAACTGTGCTGCTTACTGAGAACATTGGCCTATTTCTTTCTGTCCTTGACTTTTCTTTGCTGTGAGTGTCAGAAGCCTCACTCAGGCTTCAAATTATTCTCATTTTTCTTTTTCATATGTTTGTTTTAATATTGTTGCATGTTAGTCTGTATGAACCCCACGTGCATGTTGATGTATGTGTAAAGTTGAGTTCATGCCGGCTGGGGAGTCTTCAGAAGCTGTACCTCTTGTTTGTGCCATTACTTGTAATAGTATTTCATTTATTTATTGTGTTTTTGTACTTTTACAAGAATTGTGCATGCAAATAAGCATGTGTGCATATGTGTCTCTGTATATATGTGTTTGTGTGTGTATATCTGTCTGTTAGAGAAGCCTATTATATGTTTTGGATCTCATTCCTAGGACATCATTCACCTTGCTTCTCAGCACAGAGGTGGTGACTCTCATGGTGCTCTGTAAAGAAGGATGTGTGGCTCACCATCAAGCCTTAGACATCTGCGTGTTTCTCCTTATCATGGCTGGCGTTGCAAGCACAGACAAGAAACAAAGAATTTACATAGGTTTCAGGGATTCCTTTTCATGTCTGTGTGCTTTTGCAACATTCATTTTACTGAATGGGATCTATCATTCTTGTCTGGTATCTTAGTGTATTACTGTTTTGAAAAAATAATTAAGGAACAAGATGTACTAACATATACCATGCTAAAGGCTATATAAGAAAAAGCATATTAAAAAGACATTTAATGACATTATAATGAAACACTGACTAAAACTCTGACATGCTGATGACTATCCAAAAATACTTTGGTTTAGGTTTGATAATTATAATAGAAAGTGTATTTCTGGTATAAAGGAAAGTATTATTTGTTAGCAGTGCAGCATTGTTGGGATTATATCAAGAAAAGTATGTCAAAATTAATGGCTAAAATTATAGTAACAGATAGGTTAAAAACAAAACTTAAGAAATAATTGAGCAAGCTCTCATTTCTGTACAGAATGATTTTTGCATCCACAACTCTAGAGAAAAGATACATTTTTTTAGTCCATAATTTGGTACAATTATTTCAACCTAGATTTCATGTTGGCTCTCAGATATCAGATTTTACCCTATTTTTTTCTCCCCACAACTTCATCTAATTTATTCATAGTTAGCCATTTCCCACCAAATATCTCAAATAATCTATGATGTGGTGAATCACACTAAAAACTTTAAAGTCATCAAAACAAAATTGAAGAAGTAGAAATATCTAAAGAAAATAAAGGCCATTCCCAAATACAAACAATTGGTATGGAATTGAGGTCTGTATGTGTTCACCTACTAATTATTTGTGCTTCTGTTCTTTATTGAATCTGGTAAATGCTTACCATCAGATGATCTGATGCCTATGTTCCTTTCTCATTATGGTCTTGCTCACAAAACATTTTTACATCCTATCTTAGGAATAAAGTTTGTTGTTTGAGAATGCACAGAGATGTAAATCCTTCATTTCTTCCTCATGGTTTAAGTTCTAGATTCATGTGCCTAGCAACAGTGCCTCTCACCTCAGAACTTGGCAAGTGATGAGATTCTTCCTCATGGTTCCTTTATTATGTCAAGCAAAAATTATTTGGTTTCCTCATTCATGTCAGTCATTCTAACGTCTTTCTCGTCATATGCTATGCTCCAGTTTCACTGGTGTAAATTAATCTCATTTCCAAATTTATATATTCTTCATACAATGTAAAACTATGTGAATTTTCTACTTTGTTCATATTATAATCACTGTTCCATTTTATTTAGTATTGACCATAATAAGAAATACTCAAAGCACTTCAAATTATGGAAAATAATTCCAGTCTTTTGATATATTCTTAAGACATCAACTGTCTGCCATTAGTTTTATCTTCCTCAATTCAGTGAATAGCCCAGGTATTGAATACCTGCACATATATTTATATGCATTATCTGTGCCATATGCCTGTTTTTCAAACTAATGTATGGGATGAATTTGGAAGAGAATGTGTGAGTACCAGAACAGGGGTGAATTTCTTTGGCAGTGGGCTAGCTCATAACTGAGGAAACAATCTGGGAGCAGTGCATTTCATAGGTTGATTAGAAAATGATGAAGACTTGTTCATTTGCTGATTAAGATTACTAATGTCTGAGTACTTGATGACTTGCCAGGGTGTTTTACCAAACTTTCCATCTTTTGTTAGTTAACATTCTCAAAATTCTTTGAGAATTTTGTTCTTTTTATTTTATTACATTCTTTTCCATTTTGGAACTCATCTGAGATCCATCTCCCCTTTCTAACCCATCCAACTTTGTTTTCTCTTTGTCTCAAAACAAAGCAAAACAACAAGAAATATAACAACATCAACAATAACAAGAATATACTAAAGAGCCTGGATTCCATTTAGTGTTGATTCCTGTGTGATCATCATGTCTTCCCACAAATGGGTGAATGGGATAAGTATACCTGATATACACACAATACAATTTTTCCTTTCCCCGCAATTATCATTTGTGTATAGCTTGAACAGGTATCTTTTTCATCATTTGTGTGTGTGCATGCACGTGTGTGTGTGTGTATGTGTGTGTGTGTGTGTGTGTGTATGTGTGTGTGTGAGAGAGAGAGAGAGAGAGAGAGAGAGAGAGAGAGAGAGAGAGAGAG